CTTGTGTTCCCTCTCTCACTATGTCTCTCTCTGTCAAATAAATAAATAAAATATTAAAAAAAAAAAAAAAAGAACTATGTCTCCAAAAACTTTGCCGAAGAAAGTTAGGTCAAAGCAGATCCCTTTATAAAAGGGTGGAAGGAAGCTGAAGAGAACACTCAGGTGGTGAAGATGAAAATATTGAGGTGGTATATTTTGGGGCTGCCAGAGAACCCCGAGTTGGAGCTGTGACGGGCACCGTCATGGATGATGGCGCCAACACTGAGAGCACTTAAAGTGATGAACGCACCCTGGCGTGCAGTGGTCTTGTCCTCGTTAGCTGAAAGAGCAACACGAACATGTGCAAGCTAAGTGACCTAAGTCATGCTACGTTTTATGTGGCCGATGTTTCATTGTGAGTGCTCTAAAATTAAGCTCAGTGTGTCCATTCACCTCAGATCGTAGTTTGCTTATATTTTGCATATGTCTTTGAAAAAAACTCGTAGTGGATACATCTCAATCACACAAAGGTATACACATTTTATTTTTTGGTCATTCTTAAAAAAAGATCCTGGAAAGCCAAAGATAGGGGGCCAAGTATAGGTTCCCGATGTCCCCACTCTCCTGCCCCCTGCCTTCCCTGTTGCAACGTGATACTTCAAGCACCTGGCACCCGGCCCCTGTCGATGTTGTATTTGGTAAGGATTTGTTGACTTCCCGACACTGAATTGGTAGGTTGTCTCCCCCTTATGGGATTGGAAAATTGGATTTAAAGTAGAAGTAGAAGGCGCTTCCTGTCTAGTAAATCTGGGCTCTGCTGTTTTTAGGTAGCTTTTGGATAACTAATGTTGTCTAAGTCCAATCAGATTTTTTAAAATGTCTTTGGCAGTAAAGTTATTCTAAAATCTAGTTCATTTAGATACAACCAATCTTACCTTCGTTATTTCAGATTCCCTGGAATATATTTAAAAAGACTGGCATGAGCCAGTACAATCACAGAATTACTATTTGGTAAATCATTTACCATTATATCATTTTGTTGATGAATGCTTTGCTTTGGAAATCAGATGCTTTTAAACCACACTAGAAAATTACAGTTTTACTTACTACTTATAAAACATTGCACAAAAAGAATGTTTAAGTGTTCAAAAGTTTTTAATGAACTAAAATCCTATGTATCATTCATCTTGGTTTCATATTAGCATTCTTAAATTATCTGAAGGGCACTTTGTTTTTAAATTCAGACACTTTCCTGCTAAGCGTAGATTTTAAGGGGAGCCTTGGCTTGTTACAAGTCCCTGTTGTGCTATCACTTCTTAAGCGTTGTTAAACCAAGACGGGTAAGGTGCATATATGTCCCCATCAAGAAGGATGGTTTATTGTATGCAGACTTTTCCCCAGAAGCTGACCTGTGTCCTTAGAAACTGAAAGGTAATGGCTGCTCGAGCATGGTCTGCATTTGCAAATGGAAATCTGCCTTTTACCTCTTTTTATCTGTGATCTGTTTGCCTAAGATTTAGCTGGATAAATCAACTGTTTTACCCCTGGTGGCTATGTTTCAGAAAGTGAGTCAGGAAGTTAGGAAACCTCACCTGGACACTTGGGAGCTGTGATTCTGTTGTGCCCTGGCTGTGAGACCTTGGGTGAATCTTTGGCCTTCATTTCCCCATCTACCAAGTAAAACCAGTACCTTCCCTGCCAGTATACCAGGGTGGTTCTGAAATTTAACCAAGATGTTTGTGGAACTACTTTGTAAATATCAAAGCAGGGGACCGTTGTGGTGATTGAAGCTTTTAGGTAACTTATGATCTTTTGAGGGAAAAAAAAAAAAAAACAACCCTGGATGCCTCGTATATAAAAATTCCAATGTGGTGTTTAATCATACTTAGCATTTATAAATCTAAATTAGTATCTTAGGAGTTGTAAAACTAAGCTGGTTGAATATTATTGTGGTATAAATCCTCAGTGTAAACTTAGTCTAGTGGCCTGAGTGACAAATATCGGGTAAAAATGGCAGCTTTGGGTCTGAGACAGTTTTTCTATTGAACATGGCTTACTTGGAATTTTGAGTGGCAATATCAATCTGCTCTGGGTTAATTAGGTACTGAAAAGTCTCTCTTCCAACCCTTGGTGGAGCCACGGAGGGGCTCTTTAGTGCAGGTGGGGAGGCTAGAGTACAGGACCCGACACAGACCTCTGAGAAGGCAGAGGAAAGAAGGAACTCGTGTCACCGGATTAAATCGTCATCTCCTCAGCGACAAGCTACTCCCCTAAGTTGAAGGTTTCCGACAAAAATGGCCGACATAAGTTGGGGGCTTCTGTCCTCCATCCCTGTCCTCTGCCTCTTCCCATCACTCTGCTTTGTCTTCAGATTGCTTGCTTTCCTCAAGTAACTAATTGTAGCAGTCGCCATGGCCTTGGTGTTAGCGTGTGTTGCCACTTCTTAATAGCATCGGTAGGAAACCCATGCTTTTTGATGTGAGTAGGTAGAGTCCAGGGAACGATCCCATAAGCAGAATGTCTGATTCATTCAGCTGCAGTGTGATTTTTGACTCTAAGCAAATGTCTGTGGGGAGCAGTTACCCATTGGAGATAACCACACTGGGTTGTAAAGGGTTTCTTCAGCATATTCATTCGTCCTTTCTTGAGCAACAACCTCAAAAGGGTGAATTTGGGTATGATAGGCTCCTGTTTAAAACCCCTCATGATTATTATTTTTTTTTAGAACTTTTAGGTGAGACATTGAGACTACATACAGTTATATTTTTTTAAGATTTCATTTATTTATTTTAGAGAACATGCAGGGTGGTGTGGGCGGGGGGGGGGGCAGAGGCAGAGGGGGAGGGAGAGAGAATCCCAAGCGGATTCTCTGCTGAGCACAGAGCCTAATGTGGGCTTGATCCCACGACCCTGAGATTACGACCTGAGCCGAAACCAAGAGTTGGACACTTAACCAACTGAGCCACCCAGGCGTCCACTATAGTGATTTTTTTTCCCTTTGCCTTCTCCGCTTTTAGCAGTATGTACTGAAATATTTGGAAATGAAATGAAATGATGTCTTGGATTTGCCAGCAGAGATGGAACAAGGCGGGCTTTGAGTTGAGAGTTGTTGAGGGAAGTGAAGGGGCTATGGGGGTTTCATTATACTCTTCTACTTTTATATGTATTTGTATTTTTCCATGATAAAAAGTAAAATCTAAAAAACCACCCTACCATAGGTTTCCCATCGCCTTAAGATAGAGGCAGCCCTCTTAACATGGCCTTCAGACCCCTTCACCATCTGGCACCTATTAACCCTTCCAGGTTCATCTTCTGAAATTATTTGCAGTTGCCCTAACATACCCCATCTTACCTTTGGCCCTTTGCACTTGTTGTCTTCTCTTTCTTTCCCTTTACATCACCTCATCCTCACACCAATTTGCCTGACTCTTCTGGACCTTCAGATCCCAGACAACATCACTTCCTGTGGGCCTTCCCTGATTGACCTCCACCCCAGTGTGGGTTGAGTACCCTCCTGCGGGTTCTCTGTCATGGTTCCCCCTCATTTCTGCCTTCCTGACTGATTCTAACCACCATTTCCTTCCTATCACTCTCATTGTATTATACACTTTTTTTTTTTTTTGAGGAAAGGGATTAGACCTTGTTCTCCCTTCTATCTGTTAAACTCCCCACAATGCCTGGCATATAGCAGGAAATCCATAAATTTGAAAACAAAAGGCCCGCCCAGGGCTTGTTGACGCTTGGCCTCAGGACTCCCAACACCTCCTGCACAGAGCCAGCGATTCCTGGTGCTGATGGGGCTACTGCCCACCTCCTTGTTTCTTCTTGCGCCCATTCACCTCACCTCTGTTCTGTGTCTTTGGGATATTCGGTGACTTCCTATGAGTCACAGCAGTGCAAGAGTAAGTCTTGGATGTTCTTTCCAGAATCTCTGCATGTGGTAGGGAAGGTCCAGTCAAACTTGGAGCTTTTATACTTTCAAAAATGACAAGTTTTGAACTGGTATCCAATATTACTAGGCACATTTAAACACTCTCCTTGTTGATGTGATATGTTGTTCCCCTGTTTGGGATAAGTCTCTGTGGGACATACCTCCAGGGGATTTGATCTACATTCTCAAGCTGATGGTGGACATGTGAGCCAGAAGGAATGTTCATCATAGCAGTTTGAAATAGGAAAAAGAAAAAAAAAATGCATTTAGACAGGATGGATAAAGAAATTTCTGTCCAGTCCTCATATAATGGAATGTGGTGCTGAATTAGACCTAGACGTGCAAACTGGTGGTATCACACCAACCAACAGCAAGTCCAAGAATACATATGGTGTGGCACTATCTAAGGTTCAAAAACATACAGAACTAAACAATATACTGTTTATACACATGCATATATAAGTATATATGTGTATATATAACAAGCATATATAATATATGCATATCTAATCTATATTCTTGTGCATGCATGTACCTAATATACATGTGCATATATATACATGTGCGTGCATATATATTTTTATATATACACATAAACATGCAGGGAACCGATAAATACGGAGATCAAGACAGGTGTTCTCTGAGCAGGAGGGAGGAGATGTGACTGGGAAGAGGCACATGAGACTCTGAGAATACAGATAATGTTCTATGTCTTGGGCTGCATGGCAGGAGCATTGTTTTACATTTCATTATACTTTATAATTTGTATATAAGCTAAGTATATTCTTTGGAGATGACATACTTCCTAATAAAGATAACAGTGAAACTAAATTAATCAGCAATTTTTAAGTGAGGCTACGTTCCCAGCACTTTGAGGAAGGAAGAGGTTTTTCTTGTTGCTTTTCTTCCACTGTTCCTGGGGTCATTTTAAGCCAAGGACTCATCACTTTCTGCTTTACCTAAGAGACTTTTGGTAGAAACACAAATTGCAGTAGTTCCCCATTGGTGATCAGCAGGAAGTAGATTCAGTAGACCAATCACCTCTCTTTCTCTCCCACACCGTGTCCTGTCCTGTCCTTGTTCATCTCAGATGTTGCCGTGGTGGACATGAGTGATGTCTCCAGACAGCCTTCACTCTTTTACCATCTGGGGGTCCGAGAAAGCTTTGACATGGCCAATAATGTGATCCTGTACCATGACACCGACGCGGACACTGCTCTTTCATTGAAGGTAAAGGGTATCGTTCATCTACTTGTGAATACTTGGCTTTGGGAAAACGGTATTACACATTCAGAGGAAATGTACATGGAGCGCAGGAGGTTGGAGAAAAAAAAAGATTTGCTTGTGCAACTCCTTCCTTCCTACTACAGCTTCTCGCTCACACAGATGACTTCCTGACCACTGTGTGAGCCTACGTACTGCGGAGAGGCATTTGTAGGCCACTTCAGTGTTTCCAGGCTCATTAGGGAAATGAAGGCAAAAACTGTTAACTTCCATTGAAGCAAACACACGACTCTGAATCTTTT